GGTTTAGTTGATCACGGAGCGCTGATGACAGTCCAGGATAGTAAGTGACGTCACAGTAGGTGAAAAACGGCACGACCACTGCTTGCACCAGCTGTATTCGGGTTTGAACTGACAAAACTGGAGCGAATCTTCGGAGTGTCCGCAACGTTCCAAAAACTTTGGCCGTTATGTCGTTCACATGTCCATTCCACTTCAGGTAGCGATCCATCCTTAGACCAAGATTCACTACGTTGTCAGACAAAATAATGTGTTCTCCGCAGAAAACGATGTTAGTGGTTGGTGCTACCGCTCCTTCTTTGCAAAAAATAATTGCTTGCGTTTTCTTCGGGTTGGGGAAAAGAGAGTTCTGCCTGGCCCATCGCTCTATGCTTTCCAGATCGTTGTTTATGGCTTCGACGAGTTGGTCTACGTTTTGGATGGCACCAGAAATGTAGATCTGTAGGTCATCAGCGTAGAGCTGATAACTGCATCTCAGTCCACGGGGAAGGCTATTGATGTAGAGGCTAAATAGCAAAGCGCTCAAGCACAAGCCCTGGGGTGTACGAAGGGCGTAGCCAGGTTTCGAGCTAGGGAGGGGCGAAAAAAAAATTACCATGGAAAATTTGGCCGAATGCCATTTCACCGAACGCCATTTCCTCGAAAGCCTTTGTGTTGCCGAGTTTAGGGGGGGGGGGCAGTCGCCCCCCCCCCCTGCCCCTATCTGGCTACGCCTAACTGTACCATCTATCATTGATCTCTGGGAGGACATCACATTTCCTATCCGTAACTTCATTTTTAGGCAACGATAATTCCTGTTAAACACAGTAAATAGAGCCTATGGCACAACAAAGATTAAAAAAATCCTTCCCGCTGCCTGCGACAAACTTTCCTAACAACGTATCACGCATGAACAGAGCTTGCTTGCGAATATTTGCAGCAGCTGTCAAATGTTGACGTAAAATCGAACCAGAGAACCAGGATTTTTCGGCTTCACACAAAGTGGGAATGACATTTGTGTCATAGATGTGTTTGTACCAAACGGTAAAGGGCGAGGCAATGAAAGAGCCAACAAAAACATTCAGTCACTCACGAGCAGGCAACGCACACCGCTTGCCTTCACAGAGAAAAAAAAAATTACCCTAAATTTAAGTTCTTTTTACTTAATTTTGAGTTTTGCATCCCACTCTCACTTTTTGTTGTTGTCAAAAACGGAACGAGAGATTCGACTTTCTCATGACTATCGTTCGATAAGCTACTAGTGAGTATATGAGATATTCTCAAATTTGAGTCAATTGAACTTAATTTTAGGTAGAAAATACATACGAGTAAGTAATTATTTTTGCCGTAGCCAAATGCAAACTACTATTAGGCCGTTCGCAATGCTGTTGTATTTTGTAAGGACTGTTTCAATTTGAAACTAGAACAGAAACGCACCTCTCGCAATGCTGAGTTGCAGTTTCATTATTCCAGCACTATTTTGCACCAGATTTGCAACTGCTCGACTATTCTGTTTTATTTCTGAGCGAGTTTGAAACACGAATGGCACTTTGTTTCGAATTTCTTCGGATGTGTTTAAAGATGTTTCGAAGAGCTTCACAAACAAAAAACGGAGAACTTCATAGAGAGCAGTAAAGTTTATGGAACTTGACGATTACAAACATCTTTTAGAACTGTGCGTTGCGCTGATCGTGTTGCAGTTTTATTTTTGACAGTTTCAAATTATAGAATTGTCGAGTAGTTTAAAACCATTTTGAAACTCATCATTGCGAACGGCCTAAGCGGTTTACTGAAAATTGGCCTATTGAACGAAACATGGGAGATGAGTGAAAAGAACTTAATGTTGGGTAATTTTTCGGTTCCGTGTTCGATCACACAACATGTAATTCTCGCGTCACTTTTCAAAAGGTCCTAAGTATCAAATGTAAACAAATCGAGTTGATTGCTCTTCAATCATTGTATGTGATACACAAACATCCATCCAAATTAACTTTCATTTATTTAAGATAGGTCAAAAATTGTCCAATGTACAGTTTGGAATGATGGGTACATGATTGTTACTTCGGTCATTCGGACTGCCTAACATGATTGGTGCTCATTTTCTAAAGGCGGGGCCAATCTAAAGTTAGGTATTCTACTCTGAAATATGTGAAAGGGAATCTAGTATCATGAAAAACAAAACGTCCAATGTAACACTCATTGATTATGTCATTGAGAAAAATCGTCCAATGTAACATGTCCGATGTTCAACTTGACTAGTCAAAACGTCATATGTGGTTTTTTTTCTGTATTGTAGCATGAAATTCAATGTAAATTGTGAGGTTTACCGCTTCTACTTAAATTTCAACGTTATTATTCACTGACTACATTTAAAATAGTATTGCAAAATGTATTGTTTCTAAACAGCTAAAATAATAATCTGTCGAACTTTAACTTCGATTTTCTCAAAATGGTGGATATGTTACATTGGTCTATTTGAAAAGTGACGCGAGAATTGAGTCATTTTTCCATAGAAAATGTACGCTCAATCATTCAAACCAAAATATTGGGTACCATCACGGCAGAATAAACGCCCCATAAAAAATCCTCCCGATTTTCCCTTCGACTAAATCGGTTCACGTCGGTAAGATCGACCGACTATGAAACCGACGTATTTATAAATTGTTGCATCGACTCTTATGGGACTGCTTAAGGGGAGGTTGCCGACGCGTCAGCACACTAAATCGGTAGTGGAAAACATAGGAAATCAGTCAACCAGAAGCGACCAACTTGAACGATTAGTATGATGACAGAGTTGTAGCAGGGATTCTATGGAACCAGACGAAATATACTGGTTGATCAGTTAATTAAATTGTTTCTACGATGGAAACAGATTAAGTCGATAAATAAATCAGCATACGAAATTGATGAAACCAAATGAAATAGAATGGTTAATCGGTTTGTATGATGGAAAAGATTAAGTCAACTGTTAAATCGACTTATGAAATTGATGAAACCAGATGAAATACACTAATTAATCGGGTAATTAAATTGGGTTCTTTAGGGGTATTGAGGTAATTGCATATTCGTAATCTGCATTACAAATGGAATCGAAATCCAAAACTTCATCAATTTTGAAGCACTGAAACTACTTTAAATAAGTGTGATTACATTAGCAAAAATCACCATCTTAGCACCCCTCGATGGTACTTCATATGGGAACGAGCTGTCAGTTTGTTAGTTTTGTGTCAAACAGTGAAGTGATCATTTTGCTTCAATCAAGATTAAAAATTGAGATGGAAGTAAATGGGATCGAAAAAAAATATCGTTGTGCTCAGAAAACATAATTATTACGCCAATTACTCCACATGCTTGCCATTGTAAGATTTAGCATCAATACCGATGGTGGAAATATTAAATATTCTAATATGTGTGATATTTGCGTATCTTATACTTAGTCTGACAGTTGTTTTTTTGTTTTTGGCTATTTTTGATTTTAAGTGTACATTTGACATTCTTTTAATCAAAAATGGATTTCACACGAGAGGCAAGTCATTCCATGATGATCTTACTGGCCACCACCACCAAAATCTGCTCCTTTTATTATAAATTCGGCATTATTTGGCAGCTGATCACAGTGCACATAATCGGCCGCACTTCCGTTCCCAGGAAAGAGTCATTAATTTCCACGAATTCTTCATCGTCTGTGAACCAATGTGCTGTCCTCCGATGGAACGGGAAACGACCGACTACGCCACCCCTGTAAGCGGAGTCCTAGAGTGATGGTTCCGTGGTCGTATTACGCTCGATTTGCCATGAGCCTACAACTTAGAGAGATTTGCTGCTGGGGGAACGTCCAGTACCGTTTTTATCATGAAAAGCCGAAGTCGAAATCGATCAGAGCTATCGAAAACGAAATCTTGGCAAAAATGATGGCAAACAAAAAGCTGCAGTTACACTGTTAATTTTTTACTTTTGGCTTTCCGCTTGACAGCTAATATCATTAATATTTATACTAAAAATTATAATAATTACCAATTTGAGCAATTTTTACACCAAATATTACTTCAGATCAAGTTGTACTTCCCCTAGGTTGTGTCTGTTTGTCTGTGATACCTAGCAGTAGCTGAATCCCGTTAACATCCATGTTGTATTGCTGCTGAATTGAAAATAAATGCTTTGTTTTTTTTCACAGAGAACGTTTCACTGTGAATTTATCTACTGTTTTGTGTTATCATCAAATTTTGATAATTAAGTCATGCTGACAATAAAAGGGTGTATCGAAACCATTTAAAAAAATGGAAGAATACTACATACTTCATTAAATATATTGCCCACAATTCATTAAAATTTCTAACCTTCATTTTTCATTAACTCGTATTAAAAGCATGTATTTTATAATCGGTAAGAAGCAAAACATCGATTTGTTTATTTTTGTGACTTACGTTCTTTTTGACAAATTAGGCTTGATTTTAAGATTTTTAAAATTTTCATGTTTTTGTATTATTTTCCTCGAAAAGCATTGTTTTTCTCTACAACTTTGTCTCAGACGTCATTTCGATAAGAAATGCCGTTCCTGTGCTACATTTTTTTGAAAAATTAAAAGGACTCCATTTTGAAAATGTTTTAAGATCCAAAATGGCCTAATTTTAGAAAACAATGAGTATCATTGCCCATAACAATGAATTATGTAATGTTTCATGAAAATCGGAGAATGTCGAGTTTTTCCGATTCATCATTTGGCGTGGAACTGCTGTTCGAATATATTTCAAGCCGAACAATGCATTAGGTCCTAGTAACACTAACAGATTCCGTTCGTCGATTTTCTCTATGCATCCCCACGACCCATGAGACATTTCCAGCTATTTTCAACACAGTCGATAAAGAGAATCGACCAATGTCACCTAAGACCTAATCCACTGTTCGACTTGATTTGGTACAGCATCAAATCAACAGATCCAGTCATTATATTTGTCTTCATCCAATGAATTTATATAAATCTACCTTAACTTCTCTAATAACATTCAACGCTTTTTTCCCTGCAGAGCAAGAACAGAACGGTCCAACGTTCGAATCCACCCAGGAGGAGGAAGAGGACCTGGAGCGGGCGCTCGAAGTCGTTGGCGAGCACGTCAAGTCGCTGGAGGACATGACGGTGGAGTCGGCCAACTTTCTGGGCGACTTTCTGGACAACGTGGACGACGAAATGCTGAACGGGTCGGACATTTGCTCGGACCAGATGCTCCAGTCGCCCAATACGAACGACATCCGAGGATTGGTGCACACGTGAACGTCAGTTTTCAGAGATGGGTAAGCAGCGAGATGGGCGCGCGTGTGTGTGTGTCGTGTGTTGGGGAACATTTCCGGGTTCACTTTTTCTGTTTGCCGTTGGGTCTGCTTGATTTGCATTGGGCGTGATTATGGGCCCAATTATAACCCTATGTTGTTTATGTAAGGGAATGTAAGGAACGTGATATTTTCGGTTGAGCGAAATTAATTTTTAAGGGTAGAATTATTTTCTCGAACCTAAGAGAAGTGTGACATTTCTGTTTCATACCGAGGGACAGTCGTGTGGAACTTGTGTATTCCTACTGAAGTTAACGAGTCGAATTTCTTCTGCTTCTTTTGTGTAAGATTCTGAAATTGGTTAGGATAGAAAGTGTACATGAAGAAACAATAATCTTATTTATTCACAAACTGCTGCTTTATGTGGAAAAGTTAGCTTTTTCAGAAACAGCCGCAAAAAAATATGAAGGAAGTATATATGTAATCAAAGGGAAACTGATGTTTTAGTTTTCCGATTGTGTAACGCTTTAGGCTTTAATTTGAAGCCCCGCCGAAGCGCGTTGCCTTCGGAATCCCGGGGTGAGAAATATAAAACGGACTTTTATTCGATACTAAATACGCTTCTTTACAAACAAACAAACATAATCCATCAAATAAATTCTATGAATTTGTTTATCGCTATATTATGCCGTATCAACCAAGACCACCCTATATCATATGATTTGCGCTATTATTTTCTGATTAGGTCCTAAGTTGTACTCACACCCCCGTATGTTTATATTATTTTTTTTAATTAGGAAACAGGAAAACGTAGGTTTGTTTTTAAGTTGTATACAACTAAACTGAACTAAAGCATACAAACAACAACAATAAACTCGCCCATTCATTTACAGGCTAACTGAAAAGGGAAGTAATTTTTTTCTGTTTGTTTATTTTATCCGAAATTTTTTCCTATTGTTTTGTGGAGGAGTCGTTCCCGTAGAAAGTGCGAGTGCGATCTTCGGTTTAAGTCAAATTTAAATTTTGGTTTTGTAACATTTCGAACGGATTTTGCTCAAATATTATTTCTGCTGGTGAGAGAAATCGAAGAATGAACGTATCAGCTCTATCCATCCAGTCCAGAAGTGAGGAAGGTGTGTACCTAGTCGGTAGTGGTAGGACGCATCAGATGAAACTATCAAGAAGATTAACAAATTGGCAACCAAGACAGAGAGTGAGAAGAATATGTAAAACGACGGGTTTGAAATAAGTTAGTGGAAGTTGAAATGGAACATGATTATAGTTGTACTAGTATTTGGATTAACCAAAAGATAAAAACATTACTTCAGTGGCCGTCGGATGGGTAAAATCGCGGGTGACATATTGAGATGCGTGTCCATTAGCTAATTTTGTCATGTAAGAACAGAGTTTTTTGTTTCCAGTATTGAAAATGCTTAGTTGTCTTAATTGGTAGGTTTAGTTTGTAAGTTTAGCTATTAGCGAAGATTATATATCAAACACCAAAAAGACTGGGAACACTGTCAGAATCCCAGGGACAAATCGTGCAGATTTTGACATACTTGAAAATATTCAAAGCTAAATTGGAAGGAGAAGCTATGGATATGAAGCTGAATGGATAATTGTACCAGAAAGTGTTGGTGAGCCGAATCACCAGCAATGGCTGGATGTGTTGTTTGATGCGAAGGACTGCAGAATTTAGAAAGGCGGCAAGATTGTTATATATAAGGTCCCAAAATTAAAATTGAGGAGCTCAGTTAGCTTGGTGGCTGTCGCTTTTGGTTACTGAGTAGACTGCTTAAGCGAATCCTGACCCATCCCCTACTCAACTATCCAACTCCGTAGCATCTATGGGGGCGTCGGTGAGTCGCTGGCCTTCCGTTAAGTGGATGTTACATCAACAATATCCTTTTCCCGAAAATGGGCGTGGCCAGCAATGGTAATTGTCATGCTTTTCCTGATCTGAACTCTGATGGGAGAGCTATTCACTCCCAACTAGTTTTCCTTAAGCAATTAGAACAAGAACGTGACAGTTGCCAGTATGCAATCAATGAAGTACTCCGTTACAAACGCAGCGCAAAGATTGTTGCTGTAGGTGATCGAATCGGAGGGCTATACCATAGAGGTAACTCTAAGCCCATAGGGTCCCGAAGAAATGTGCTTAACTAGAATAGGGTACCGTGGAGGCACCATATTCGAAGCGGTTCCTAAATCGACGCACTCAATAATGTTCGACTATTTTCCATCATTATTTTTGAAATGTTACTTCTGCAAATATAAGTTCCTGTGCTCTAGGGATGATGGTGTAACAAAGTTTAAAAAATATCTGGTCAAAATCGAGATGCGATGAAAATTAGACGAGTGCGTCATCATTAGGGACGCGTCAAATATGGTGCTGGCACGGTACGCTTATAGATTTACTTGGGACCAATAGGCGAGTCAAGTAGTGAGCCAATTCTAAATCGTTAGTTTCCACCGGTTGGCTATACTCTTAGAGATGGGAACAAACTCGACTGGTTTGGTTGAAAGCGCAAAGTAAACGAATTCATTCATTAATCAAATGGTGTCTTCCTTGTTACACTCCAGACCGTGCTCACTTCACCAATCGCAGTTCCTCAATTGAATATGATCTGATCATGAAACAAGCAACATGGCGAATTTTATGACAGGCAAATTTCACACGATGAATTTTACCATTTAGTGCGTCAGAGTACCCTTTCGAGTTGGCAAACCGATTGGGACAATGGAAATCTTGGACGGTGGTTACATTCAATTATTCCCAATGTTTCTTCGAGAACGTGGTTTAAAGGCTTAGACTTAAGTTGTGACTTCATTCGCGTGATGAGTAGACTTATGTCCAACCACTACTCGCTAGATGCTCATCTCAATACACTGAACGAATTTGACATATTCCTGTTATGTGGAAGTCTAATAAATTTGCGCTATAAGATAATCCATTGAAAATGATATGATTGAAAATGTGTCAGGTAAATTCTATATGAATATCTGATACATTTACAATGCTGATAATTTGGTAACTTTTATATGATCGTCATATGATAAATGAAAATCGATCAAATTATAATAATTAACTGAAATGGATTTGAAACCCATAAGCATATGTGTCATAAATCAATCGAAGTAAAGTTTATGTGAAAATAACATGAAATTTACTTCTTCTTTTGACACATATATTTAATCGATTTCTAAAAATAAATTTGAAAAAATAAACATCAGGCAGTGGGAGCTTTCACAGTTGTACCTTTTTTTATTGTAGCTGTTTTGGGATTCGATCAAGAACTGTTGAGGTGTGATGCTTTCGGTGTCTGTGCTCGATTCCACTGGGCCACGGCTGACTTCAAGATTGAGCTCGTTCAAATAGCATAAAGTAAGAACAGCTCTCCCGACATGGAATGTAGTGCAACGTTATGCTCGTTTTGCTAGAGTGAAGACAAATAGCACAGACAAATTTATGTTCCGTTTCGGTGGTGTGGTTTGTTCAAATCTTTCTTAATGCACCTGTGTGCAATAAATCAACGACTAAATTATATGATTTGATAGAACTGACTCATGAAGTTCGAGTACTACTTAGGGCTAGAATCTGAATTAGCCGTGTAGAAGGCTTACAATTAGAATCATAGCAAAGTAAATATTACAGTAGAATCATTTTTTTTTTCAATCTCAATACATTCTTTTCTAGAACCAATTATCATATGAATGAGTGTACGTTAACATCGTTGAAAATTGTTTCAATAATTTATAAAGAACAATCATGTAAGATGTATTTTATTGGGAGCTATATTCATCCCAGAAAAACATGCAAAAACAAATGCTTGCTGTTGGATTTCTTAAAAGGCATTTCTATATGACTATTTAATGATTGGGATACATCTGTTTACAATCTTTAAACGTCAAAAATCAAAGCAAGCTATTACAATGAGATATACATGTTTTCCTATACTGCAAAGTTAAATGACAGTCCAATAGTTTCTACATGTCTATTTACACGCGACATATCAACAAACGTCAAAAATCAGTAAAAGCAACTCCAATAAAATATGCATGATTATCTTATAAGATATATATTTTAGTGAGCAATATTCATCATGAAAACAGGTATATTTTACTGAATTTTCTCATAGTGCAAACTTATATGATTTTCCATTAGTTTCTAGATGTCTGTTCCCACCCATGACATATCAACAGTTTTTCACCATGAAATATATCAGACAATATTCATATACTTCTTACCTTCGCTAACCACGTTCGAAGCAAAGTATTATCAAGTACTAAGTATGTGAAATTACGATAGAAATCATTCCATATCGCATTCATAGTTTTTAAGTGATAATCCAATGGAATCTATCAATCATCACATAGAATGAATAAATCTGCTGACATTGCTATGTTATAAGATGGATCCAATAAACGGTACATGTCGATTTGTTTCAGTGTAGATTAAACCTCGTGGACAGCAACCTCTGTCGGTGTGGAAACGGTTACGATGACATCGATCATGCAGTTTGGCAATGTACGGATAATGACGCCGCCAGAGAGCGACTTTTGAATACCCTTGAGGCCCAAGGAAGACAACCCTATGTTCCTATCAGAGACGTGTTGGGAACTCGCAATATCTACTATATGCAGTCGGTTTATGTGTTTCTTCAAATGTCTAGTATAAGAATTTAATTCCTTCGTCTTTTGTCTCTCTTTAATAGTTTTTGTTTATCTTGTCCCCCCGTCTCGATGAGTCTCATCGTCGCCCACTGGTCACCATAGCCGGTCGAACTCCAGACGAAACTAGAACCGCATTACCGTTCATACTGACGACAACGCTCTAATGAGACAACGAAACATTACCCCCAAGCTCCTCCCCTGATCCTATCCTTCGACAATGTACCTCTCTAACCTCGGGTAAGCCGCGAGTATTCGGCCCAACTCCTACTAGACATTAAGTGAAGTTTGTTACAAACAAAGAACAATGAACTATTGGCTCCGTAAAGCTAACGCGATTGAGCCAGGATATAGGGCTTCGGTGCAGAAATAATGGCTGTGTCCCAAATAGAAAAGTACCATAAAAAGTGTGTTCGAGGTATCATCCAGATTATTTGTGGAATAATTGTACCATTCGGAGTATCGTTTGTTAATAGTTTTCGTTTATTAGGTGTAGTGTACCCAATCGCTCTTTATGACACAAATACATTAACGGAGATCATATGCCTCACAAGTTGTACTGAGGCTGTTTCTCATTTTCATTGAAAGCTTTCACGCGATATTGACACTTATTAATCCCCCCTATTCTGCGAGTCACGTGACTCTCTCTCACCGGTGAGGTGACAATAGTCACCTCGTGTGAGGTGACTCTCCATTTGATTTGCACGGAGAGTCACCTCACACGAGGTGACAATTGTCACCTCACCGGTGAGAGAGAGTCACGTGACTCGCAGAATAAGGGGGAATTATTTTAATTAGTTTTTCAGGGTGTCTATTAAGGTAAACGCTCCTATAGTTGCGGTACGTTAGAAGCGTTAGGTTCCTATAGTTGTGTATTGAGACTCTGTACACAACTATAGGAATCTAATGCTTCTAACATACCGCAACTATAGGAGCGTTTCCCCTACCTTCAAAACCTGGAAAACCGGGAATCTTCACAGAATGTTGAAATTCCCGTATGCAAGCTATTAACCGCCGGAAGACCCCGGTAATGTCATTTAGGAGGTCACCCACCTTAAAATGTATGGACTGGATAGCTTCTAATTTGAGATTGCATGGAAATTTCACGTTTTTGCTCGATTACTCAAAAACTACGGTAATGTATCACTATCATTTATGTACTGGCAAAAGCGGATATTGTTTACGCATCTGCTGGTAATACCCGTATTGCAGATAAATGCTTAGTTGGTGAGAAAGGATTAAAG